GCCCTGGCTGGGGACATTGTTGAGTACTTGGGCAAGACACTTCACTCAACTCACAATACTGTACATACCTCTCTCCACCCAAGTGTATAAATGAGTACCAGTGAATTTAGTGCTGGGGGATAATGCTGTGATGGACTGGCATCCCATCCAGGGGGGTACGCATTATTTGATTATTAAGCTGTGAAACTGGATTTGATTATAAATGTGTTGGTGACTTTACTTGCGTCTTTCCTGTCAGCCATGCCATGTTAAAGACTGGGAAATGCTGCTTCATTTTAAAGTACATGGTGTTGGTGATATGCTGTTTGGTGATGGATTTTCATTTTGGTATACCAAGGAAAGGATGCAAGAAGGTACGTAAGATTGCTAATTAAATAAATGACATATACAGATTTAGCCAAGCCTAAAAGTGGAGCTCCTTATTATAATAAGTTAACCTGACTTGAGCTTGCAATCCAATTGAAAACCAGTAGTTGGGCAACAGTCAACTTCAAAGAAACTTGTGACCTTGATGAGCTCTAGACCTGATGGTTACGTGATACTGGTCAGTGGATACCTTGTTTTGACAGGTGTCAATTGACAATAACACGGATGTCCAATATCAAAGTTTTATGCTGTAAACCAAGGCTGTTGTGCCTCGGTCCATTAGCTGGAGAATGGTGTGCGATGTCGTCATAGGACCCAGGCACCCAGGATCCATGGCGCTAACAAAGTTGATCATCCCATTTCTTTTCAGGTGATGTATTTGGTAGCAAGGATTATTTTTATGGTCTTGGTATATTCTTTGACACCTACAGTAATCACAATGGTGAACACCAGGTAAGTTAAAAAGATGTCCTACATAGAGAAACCTCAAACTACTGTGTCCCAGAAAATATTCTATTTCATGCCCCTTTCATGTTTTTCTTGGTTTGATTTCCCTATGATTTCATTATCACATTGCTTTCTTCTTATGATCTTTTACAGCACGAGCACCCTTATATTTCTGCAATGATTGGAAATGGTTCTGTTCATTATGATCATGATCGAGATGGAACACTAAGTCAAGTGGCTGGCTGCTCAGTGAGTATCTATCATTCTGTGTTAGTTATTTGATTCTGTGAAGGTTTCCAAAAGTAATGGCTTCCTACACTTAAAGTAGCACTAAAGTTCTAAAGATTTTATGGTTGTCCTGCAAATCTCAAACACTCTCAATCTTAGTAGTAGTTAGCATTTTCTAGCAGGCATTACAGTGTTCTAGCAGGAAGTCTGTGTATCACAGTTTTAGAGGCCTTGCGAGCCCCATTGTGCAATGAGGATTGCCAGTTGCATCTAGTGCTTAGCAATGCTTTTATGATGTAAAGTAGGTGGCCTCCCTGGTGCAGCACCCATTAGAGGACAATAAAAGAGGTTTATTAAGCAATTTCTAGAGGAACGGTTTGTAGACTGCTACTATCATAACTGCAGTTCACAACGGAGTAGCCAGATGTCGTAAGACAAGACAAAATACAAAAATTACAGTAGGCACATTTGCCTTTGGGGTGACGAGCAATGAATATATGTATTGTACCAAATGAGGTATATTTACAGTATATGTGCATTGTAACTTTTTTTGAACTGTAGGCAAATTTCCGTGGGAGAGGTCATGACACTTATGCTCTGATCCGTTACTCAGGAACACAGAACCGTCTTACAGTAAGTCGATGACTTAATTGCATTCTGATGCAACTACAATTTGAAAGAGCTCCAGTGACATGGTTTTTCTTNTTAGTGTTTCCTAGCAGGCATTACAGTGTTCTAGCAGGAAGTCTGTGTATCACAGTTTTGGAGGCCTTGCGAGCCCCATGGTGCAATGAGGATTGCCAATTACATCTAGTACTTAGCAATGCTTTTATGATGTGAAGTAGGTGGCTTCTAATTCCCTGGTGCAGCACCCATTAGAGGACAATAAAAGAGGTTTATTAAACAATTTCTAGAGGAAAGGCTTGTAGACTGCTACTATCATAGCTGCAGTTCACAACAGAATAGCCAGACGTCATAAAACAAGACAAAATACAAGAATTACAGTAGGCACACTTGCCTTTGGGGTGATGAGCAATGAATATATGTATTGTACCAAATGAGGTATATTTACAGTATGTGCATTGTAACTTTTTTTGAACTGTAGGCAAATTTCCGTGGGAGAGGTCATGACACTTACGCTCTGATCCGTTACTCAGGAACACAGAACCGTCTTACAGTAAGTCGATGACTTAATTGTATTCTGATGCAACTACAATTTGAAAGAGCTCCAGTGACATGGTTTTTCTTCTGAAGTTAATTTTATCATGGTTCTCACTTTCAAGTCTTTCTTGTAAAATCCTAATTGTGAGACCGTATGCAAATGAGAGCTATTGAACAGTACTTTTGTGTGGTACTCTTAAATATGCTCTGAGAGTTGCTTCCAATTTGTAGTCATTTTAGGCCTGGGTAAAACCTGTCAGTAGCATGTGACCATTGAAATGAACACTATCAAGTAACACTGAACATAGCATGGTGTTGTTTGTTTCTTAATAGTCCTAACAAAATCAAATTTAAATTTCATCATCGTCATCTTCATCATCATCATTATCATTGTTGAGTGGGAAAAAGTGATGGTAGGCATCACATCAACTAACTTCTAGTAGGATCAGGACTGTGGGTCACATACTACACTTAGTTTACTGCATGTTTTCTGTTTAATTGTCAGTTGTTTGTCGACGTCGACAACAAGAATGAGTGGACGGATTGTTTTGATGTGAGTGGAGTTAAACTGCCGACTGGGTTGTATTTTGGAGCGTCAGCAGCCACTGGTCAACT